ATCACAATTGCATCGTAGCCCGCGGAGGTGTTTCAGTTGTGTCACAAATTATATGTCATAGCAAACACAGCTGTCTGCTAGAGGGTACAATATTGTACGCAGACCAAATAATGACAGAATACATGTTAATTAACCATTCAGTAGGACGGTTAACGCACATGAATGTGAGCAACTGTATCCTCACTTCCCTGCCCTGTGCCGTTCAGATTCGAGTCTGAGCTGGCCATCCGCCAGTCTGTGGAGGCCGACATCGTCGGTCTGAGGAAGCTCATCGACGACACCAACATGGGCCGCATGAATCTGGAGAGCGAGATCGAATCCCTGAAGGAGGAACTCATCCACCTCAAGAAGAACCATGAAAATGTGAGTGTGACGGCTCCGAAATCCAAAACCTCGACTTTCAAGCTCCTGAAACCCTAAATTAAATAAGCAATAACCAATGTTTAAGTTTGGTTTAGATGGTTTAGTTTGGCTTTAGTTACTATTTATGAAGATTTTAAGCTCATCTGCTTCATGATGGACTGTGTGGATGTGGTGTGATCGGATTGCACTGACAAAGCTGCAGTACATTAGCAAAAGACCCAACAACTAATTGGTGCACAGTGACATCACATTTTTCCAATTTAGCCCCCGCCCACTTTAAATTAGTGAAAACCTCAAGGTCAAAAACAGAAATGCACAAATCTCACCTGTGAAAAACTTACACTGATGTAGTGGCCTCATAACTAATCCTCACAAGCTCATTTACAAAAGAGGTTTTCAGGACCTTTAACACAAGCTCAAAGGTTGTATTCATGCTGCTTGAGTGTTGAATGACTGTTAGTTCTGCAAATGAATCCCAAACAAAAAACACCCCAGGACATAATTTAAGCAACACCCACACCTTTAGAGGAGGCAAATTCATATTTGCTTATCAGCTCATCGCAATAATCTCTTCAAACATCGTCACCATGTGTGTTTAAGTCACACATATATAGGTCGCACACTATGCCACGACTGCAGCCGACACATCCTGACAGGCTGCAAGGAGGCGTTCTGGAAAACAAGCTTAAGTGGGAAGAGAGATGTTTGTTAAGAAATCTGAAATATCTGTATGTGAATACTGTGGGAAGCCTCATCATAAAAATGGTTCCCCTCCGCATTTGGCAGCAGAGAAGACGCCAAAGAATTTAAATGACTGTCATTAAAGCGCCTTAGCCAAAACACAACCATTTGTTTACTGAGGGGAAATATTGGATGAAGTGTTTAAGGCCCCAGATGCAGGTTTAGATTTACCCCCTGTATATTTACCTGACCATAACAGGGGCTTATGCTTGGAAGAGGCCAGGACTCACAGCTGCTAATTCCTCTATCCATTCTTGTTTATTTAGGAAGTAATGGAGCTGCGTAACCAGATTGCCCAGTCAGGAGTCCACGTGGATGTTGACGCTCCCAAGGGACAGGACCTGGCTCAGATCATGACAGAAATCAGGGCCAAGTATGAGAAGATGGCACTGAAGAACCAGGAAGAACTGAAAGCATGGCACGAATCTCAGGTAAATGATTAAAAAGAAATCAAGTCATCAACAAACAAAGAAGTCCTTCTCGAGCAAGTGTGAAAGAGAAACCTTTAATCTTTTAATCGCAGATAACAGAAGTGCAGACCCAGGTCAGCCAGAACACAGAGGCCCTGAAGGGTGCCCAGACAGAGGTGAATGACCTGCGCAGACAGATCCAAACCCTGGAGATCGACCTGGAGTCACAGAGGAGCCTGGTGAGAAGCACTCTGTCAGCACACACTTCATTTCACCCCACTCAGCACTCTCAGTTCAAGTCTCCCACATTTATTTTGTTGACACAAGCTTTACACTCTGGTGACCCGTCGCTATGGAGCCGTCATCAGCGAGACAGGTTCTCTGTAAAATTTTAACCCGTCCTATTTTTTTTCTCTTTTTTTCTTTGCCCCGCTTTTGCCCTTTGCTTGTCCCGCGCTCACAGAAAGTCTCTCTGGAGGGCACGCTGAGGGACACGGAGATGCGTTACAACATGGAGATCGAGTCTCTCAACACCGTCATCCTGAGTCTGGAGGCGGAGCTCACACAGCTGCGTAACAACATCCAGCTGCAGACGCAGGAGTACGAAGCCCTGCTCAACATGAAGATGAAGCTGGAGGCCGAGATCGCAACATACAGACAGCTCCTGGACGGCGGAGACTTCAAGTGCGTAGATTCGTTACTCTGCATTTCACTTTTTGGTGCATAACCAACCAATCATTTAAAAATCTGACAGTAGAAACGATGTGACGATTAAAATGTTCTGTATTTTTTATCTTTTTTTCCCCTTCAGGCTCCAGGACGCTTTGGAAGACCAGAAAACAGTGAAGACCAAAGTGATGACTGTCACACAGACCATGGTGGATGGAAAGGTGGTTTCCTCCAGCACAAAAACCAAGGACCTTTGAACACCAGAAGCAACCACCTGGCACCTCCCAACCATCACTTTCCCTGCATCATCACACTAACAAACGATTGGCCAAAATTTTATTTCCAATGGGTTTTTCTGAGCTCTTAGTCGTACAGCACTAACCCCCTCTGAGCTGTCGCTGCGATTAGTTTGACTTCCTGGGTATACAGCTCTTCCACAGGCTGATAATAAAAACTGGATCAGAGGAAAACTAAATCATCTTTTATTTATTTCATCATGGTGTTATTTATGTGTTTTTGTATTGACCGGCAGATGTTCAGAATTCACAATTGGAGAACTCCAAGCTTTTTTAGAGAAAAACAGATACAAGACATTGAATATTTCAAAGTAATAAATAAAGAGTCTTAATTAAATGCAAAACATTTTTTTTATACTTCATCATCTTTGGTTTTCTTTCTGTCCAGTTAAGTCTGCCCTGTTGCGCTGTGATGTTCAAACATTTCAATAAAGTCCATTTGAGGAAATTTTTTGGTGTCAACATGGTGTTTGTCTGAAACTACACATCATTCATGTCAAACATATCAGATTATATTACCGTAACTTGATGAACATAATGAATCAATCAATCAATCAAGCAGATTGTGACAGAGGAATAGTTACTGCTTTCACTCACAATCAATGAATTCTTTAGAATAAAACCCACGGCAGCCACTGAACTCTTGGCTGCTGTCAAACTATAAATAGGAAGATCTAACCTGCAGATTAAGCTTCAGAGTTCATATGTAATTAGATTTAGATCCTTTATTCTTAATGCATTGCTTAATAATTTAGCTGCCTACTCTTCCTTCCACTTCCACTGGTGCTCTGCTAATATTATAATCAATACAGCTCCAAAAACTACATTTAGCACTTTAAAGCTATGTTCATACCTCACTGTGAAAACAACCTGCCCCCCTCATTCAGTTCAGTTCCACTTATATCACATATATACATACTCTGGATATATGTTTATAACATATATGAAATGCCCCTGGTGTTACGTCTCTGCCACAACTCTGCAGAGTTTTTTCTCTTGTGTCTCCCCCTCCCCTCTTGTCTGTGTCTGTGTGTGTGTGTGTGTGTGTGAATATATGTGGGGGCGTGGCTTCTCTCTCCTGGCTCATGACATCGTTCCACACCTGCTACACATCAACTCATCAAGCAACCTGATCAAAAATCCCGGCCACTCTCCACTCATCGCCAGATTGTTCCGTCCACTTAGCGGTAGACTTGCCCTCGGCCTCTCTAGTTATTTGAGAAATATTTTCTAGAGTTTTTAGTTGTTCCTTTCCCAACGCCAGCCAGCCTCTGCCTTCACCGCCTTACTACACTTTTTTATTTCATTTGTACATATATTTGGAAAATTCAATACAGGTGCATATATAACATTTGCAATCAATTATATGTGAGTGCACACTCCAGGTGGAGTTCACTGGAGTTTACCGTTTACCTCGTGACTGTTGTGATGGAGGATAAACTGATTGTTGCTATGATAAGATACAAGAGTTGTAAACTTGTTCCTCATTAGAAACCGCCTAGCAGTGTTTTGTAATCTCACAGGCTTTGACCATTACTCCTGCTTCTCCTCCTCAGTTTTGTTTTATGGTCTCCCAGGTATCTGAAGCAACATGCCCCCCACCAGCATAACCCCTTGCATTATTGGTCTGAACACAATTAATGGATCAGGCTGCTGTAATCTTAGCTTCTTCTAATTGTCAACAACATTGTTACCTTTACTTAAACATGAGGAAATAGTGTATTTGTTGGGGACTATTTTCAACTGTGGGTTAAAGGTCCCATATTGTGTGACATTCCCATGTCTTTTTTGATTATAAAGCAGGTCTAGGTTCTATATTAATACTGTGAAAGTAGAGCTCAGTCCATAAAGAAATGCACACAGCCTGTATTCAGAAACTGAGCCTTAAAACCAGCCATCAGGACTTCTGTAACTTTGTGATGTCACATCATAACAGTCACCACTCTAAGCCATGCCCCAAGCCCAGCCCACCTGGACCCACCATCCAACCTTGCAGGATTTGATTTCTCTGAGTATTTACCTGAAATCTGCTTTATTTTTTTGATCACTCAGAAAACAGCCAATCAGAAGAGAGGCTCAGAGCTTGTTGGCTCCAGAGCGAAGCCTCAGAGAGGAGATGTAAAACTACATTAAGATGGTTTTTGGTTCTTAAAACCACAAATATGGAGTGTACATATTGACTAAATGGCCATGTTCAGTGCAATGACTGAACACGTCAACCAATGGAATAATGTGATTCACTGAAGTGTCTTCAATAGTTTTAACACTGGTTCTATGGCATCAGAGTTACCATAGATACAATTCATTCACAACACACAATCAATATGAAAATGCCAGCATTCCTTTTTGCCTTTGACAGTTTGAGTCACAATGTGTGTTGGGGGGACAAAGTCTAAGCAGGAAGGCTAAAGGTAAAAATGTAATATAGATAGGAGAGGAGTGGCAGGAGGGAATATTGCTTTCAGAATGATATATAAGACCTCAGGTCTCCTCAGTCCTCCACTCTCAGCGTGCCAGGACGTACCTCTCCTCTGATTGATCAGCACACTTCTTTTAGCAATGGAGCCCCTGATTAGACGCCAGAGCGATAAAATTGCTTGTGTGCAGTCCTTTAACCCATCCGTTCCCAGAGCTCTTCATATGCGGCAGGGCTATGCCCACAGTGTCAGCGGAGGAGCAGGTGGCCATGGGGCCAGGATCTCCATCAACTATGTCAGTGGCTTCGGCGGTGGGTACAACTACCAAACCTTGTCCTCTGGGTCCACTTCTGGAAACATGGCCATCGGGAATGAGAAGGTAACCATGCAGCACCTGAACGACCGTCTGGCCAGCTACCTGGAGACGGTCAGGAATCTGGAGAAGGCCAACAGCAAGCTGGAGATCAAAATCAGAGAGGCCATCGAAAAGAGGGGCCCCTTGGAGGGGAGCGACTACGGCAAGTACAACGCCATCATTGCAGAGCTGAGGGGCAAGGTGAGTCAATGCATCAATCAGTTTTTATGAGACTTACAGTGTATTCGTCTTGTTTAGTCGAGTTACTTAATGGAAAGCAAAACAATCCAGATCAAAAACATTGGTTTATAGCATATATTTCACAACATGATGCAAAACTGCAAAAAAAGAAATGCACAAAGAAAATTGCAGTTACAAATGAGGGTCCACTTCAATGTTCTGGTTTTACAGACATTGCAGGGTCTCCAAGCAAAGGAAGTGGTTAGTGGTCATATTATCATATAATATTTTTCTAATATAGTTCTTGGTGTGGGAGCTATGACAAGCTAATCCTCAATAATGCCTGTTTTATTGACCAAGTTCTCAATCTTTCACTTTCCTTATCTTGTAAACGTCACATTATGTTGGAGGTGCAGGTCGAATTACTCAAAGTGTTCGTGCAGCTCTCTGACTGACTCATCTCACAACATTTATTATCTGTAATCTGACTCTTATCTCCATGTCCATGTCGGGCTGTGACAGATAGCATCAAAAAGACAAACTACTTTATTCTTTTTATGATTTATTTTGTGTTATCTGGGTCGTTCTTTCACCTGCACCATTTATCAAAGGGGAAATTACACTTTGCTGTCCATCAAAATGACTGTGGGAAAATACAATAGTATACACAGTTTGTTTGTGTTTCACAGGCTGAAAATCCCAAAACCTATCTCCTCTCTTTCAGATATTGGACATGACCAAGGACAACGCACATCTTGCCATCGCTGTAGACAATGCGCGCCTGGCCTCAGAAGACTTCAGAGTCAAGTGAGTAGTGTTTGGCTTTATATGCAAATTGCAACTGACTTTCAATCAATCCTCCTTGAGCATATCTGATACACAGTATGTGCCATTAGGATGGATTATGAGCTGGCCATGCGTCAAACAGTGGAGGCTGACGTTAACAGACTGAGGAAGATTCTGGACGACACCAATGTAATTCGTCTGCACCTGGAGAGCGACATTGAGTCTCTAAAGGAAGAACTGATCAACCTGAAGAAGAATCATGAGACTGTGAGTGACATTAGACAGAAACTACATGCATAACAAAAAAAAAAAACTGGATTTGCTCCAATCCAACTGAACAATTAGATAATATAGTTCTACAGTTCTGCCATCTATTTGTTCCTTAACCTTTGCACAGGATAACTCCACTCACCTTGTTCTGAAAATCACTCCCTGACTATTTCCTCCTCAACAGGATGTTGCTGAATTGCATACCCAGATCACACAAGCTGGCGTCCGCGTGGACGTCGACGCTCCTAAAGGACAGGACCTGGCCCGGATCATGGAGGATATGAGGGCCAATTATGAGAAGATAGCACTGAAGAATCAGGAGGAGCTCAAAGCTTGGCATGAATCTCAGGTAATTTGTCAGTGCATATTTGCTCCACACATTTTGTGTTGACTAGCTGTATTGGTTGAGTATCTTCTCTATGTTTCATCCTGTATCCAGATCACAGAGGTGCAGGTCCAAGTGACTCAGAGCACAGAAGCTCTGAAGGAGGCCACGAGTGCAGTGACTGAAACTAGGAGGAGGTATCAGGGACTGGACATTGAACTGCAGTCTGCACTTAGTCTGGTAAGTTTACATAATTAGTGCAACTTGAACTCTCATAGTGTCACCAGTGGTCATAGCACCATTTTAATGCAAATGGGAGGCCAATGGCTTTGCTAGCCTAGCTCCGGTCAAAGGTAAAAAGGTCATGGTTTTTTACAGGTGAGCTTTTAGAGGTGTTTGTCAGTGGATTTTGTTACCTACAAATAGAGCTAGGCTACCTGTCTCCCTGTCTCCCTGTCTCCCTGTCTCCCTGTCTCCCTGTCTCCCTGTCTCCCTGTCTTTGTTTATGTCTGTCTTTATGTTAAAGGTCTCATTTTACACTTTCCTGTCTTTTATTTGAGGTGTTGATGATAACAAGATATATTTGTGGTTTTAAGTACCAGAAACCATCCCAGTTGGTTTTACATCTCCTCTCTCAGGCTTCTCTCTGGAGCTCTAGTAACAACAGGTCGGTGAGCCAATCATAAGAGAGGAAGCTCTGAGCCTCTCTTCTAATTGGCTCACCGTTTTCTGAGTGATGGAATAAAAATGTAGCAGATTTCAGGTAAAAACACTCAGAGAAACCAAATCCTGCAAGGTTGGATGGTGGGTACAGGTGGGCGGGGCTTGGTGCATGCCTGAGAGCTGCTTTGTTGTGACATCACAAAGTTACAGAAGACTTGACGACTCATTTTAAGGCTCAGTTTCTGAATACAGGCTGTGTGTGTTTCTCTGTGGGCTGAGCGCTTTAGCCTAGACCTGCTTTATTATCAAAGAAAACATGGAAATGTCACTTCATACAATATGGGACGTTTAAGCTAAGCTAAATGGCTGCTTACTGGTATCAATCTTCTCATCTATCTGTCATCAAGTCATTTCTCTTCTGCGTTAATGAGTTGGGTAATCAAATTTGTCTTTCACCCCTTGACAGAAAACATCCCTGGAGGCCACCCTCCATGACATCGAGATGCGTTACAACATGGAGGTAGAGAAGTACAACAACATCATCCTGAAGCTGCAGGAGGAGCTGACTGAGATCCGCAACAACATCCAGCATAACACAAGAGAGTATGAGCAGCTGCTCAACATCAAGGTGAAACTGGAGGCCGAGATCGCCGAGTACAGGAGGCTGCTGGACGGTGGGGCAGATTTTAAGTGAGTATGAGGAGCGGAGGCAGAAAGAATGAGAGAAACAGTGAAAACTGCTTGTAGACTGCAGGTGACCGAACAATTCATTCTCTGCATTGTGAACCAAGTGAGCTTTGTTCGTTACAGGGCGGGTTATGCAAATTTCATTCAAATCAGCTTCATGCAAACATGAAGTGGCGTTGATATAGAAACTAAAAATACGTCATCTGCATCAAAACAAACTTTAACTACAGTTTTTCTTTTGTTCATTTTTCCAGACTGGAGGATGCAATTGATCAGAAGAAAGTCCAGACCCAAGTGGTGACAGTCACTCAGACCCTGGTGGACGGCAAAGTGGTGTCAGAGAGCAAGAACATTAAATCCAGTGAAAATGCTGCTGTTCATTAGAAACTGAAAAAAAGCTCCTTGTAACAAAAATAAAATGAACATTGTACCATTGTGCCTCTGACTGTTTTTAGCTTTGTCTGAAGGAGTAAGGCAATTATTACAGTCACAGTTATAATCAGTGGATAGGTTATGAATGCATAAGATATATTATTCCATATTTTATATTGTTTCATATTCATAATTTATAATCCGCATAAAAGTATAGTTTGACATTTTGGGAAATATGTTCTAAAGCTTCCTTGTTGTTGGTCAGATGAGACGATTGATACGACTTTCATGATAGCAAATAAAATAAAATAAGCTACAGCCAGATGTTAGCTTAGCTTAGCATAAACACTGAAAAATAGTGTCAACAGCTGGCCCGTCTCTATCAAAAGATCCTCCGACAGCACCTCCAAAGTTCACTAACTTACATATTGTCTATCTTGTAATTATGCGTACAACAACTTAAGTGTAAAAAAGTCACGCTGTTGTTTTACTTGCAGTTATTTGCTGGACTATTTCTATGGCTGGGACGAGTGACCTCAGTTGAGTCAGTTGCCTGGCAACCTCACATTGACGACAAGACTCCAGGAAGACGCAGCCCCAGCCAAGAAACAACCTCCAGTAAAACCGAAACTGCTTTCACACTTCAGACAAGCCGGCCGTTAATTTCCCCTCGTTGCAGTCTTCATGCTAAGCTAAGCTAACTGGCTACTGGCAGTAGGGTGGTGGCGTATTCTCATCTAACTCTCAGTAAGAAAGATGATAAGCTTGTTTCCCAAAATGTCAAGCTATTCCTTTAAGTTGGACTCTAACTGTTATAATCTGCTAATGAAACACAGAAGCAAAAGCTTCGACGTTTTATATTTCATTGTACGACTTGCTCACAGACTTGATGTAAGACAGCTGCCCTGTTAAGCACATGCACAGTGATGGCTTCCTGGCCTCCTGCCATCCTCCTCCCACACACCCACGTCTGCAGAGAGTGCGGGAAATTCTTTCAGCTTCTGAGAAATTCACATCCTGACCCGCAGTTCTTTAGCCTTGTCCCATTATAGGCAGAACACCCCTATTCCCATGCCATGTCCGAGCAGACCAGTCCAGTCTCTGCTTTCTGTTTATTTACATTCACATTAGTCAACCTTCCTCAGTTCTCTTTGATACAAACTGACCTCTGCATAACTTTACATTAATAGGCTGTTCATATGTTGTCAACAGAGCAATTGGCTAGGAATTTTTCTTCGTCAGTCGGGGGTGATTTTACAGCTAAAACCCTTTACGAATCAATGCACTGTTCATCGTCATAATGTCAAGATTTTTGGAAATATACAATTGCAACATTTCTTAGACAGTAGCATTAATCATCCTGCCAGTTTTTTATTAAGGACTGGTTTCCTAACCGAAGCTAACAAGTAATAGTTTCCTAATTTGTGCCAGTTTCCACTGCAATATCAAGCTATTACTGCGTCACAGTGCGTCTGCTGTGAGTGGCTCCTCATGACAGTCTCACTATCTGTTGTTAAGTTGTAAAGCTGTCTTCCCTTACACTCTATAAGCCTTTCTCGCAGGGCTGCTCGTCCCCTGAAGCCAGATGCTTCATATTCTGGCCCCCCTTCTGAAAGAGGACCAGGAGACAAGGGGGGGGGGGGGGGGGGGGGGGGGGGGGGGGTAGAAAAGGATGGATGGTAGGACTGACAGGCACAGGAGATAGATGGGAGGATAGATAGAAAAAAAAAGGACTGGAGTGCATATCTGTACTGCATGCCTGTGATTCCTCAGTGGGCCCCAAAGAGGGCTGGCTGAACAATACCTCTCTCTCTGCACGGAGAGAGGACACCCTCTGAAGATTCACTATGCTCAGTCATGATTACTCACACAAAAAAAGTAGGTGGAGTAAATTCTTACTCTTAAATCGATTACCAAAATATTTTTCCTCAGAATTTTGCAAGCACATGAACAAAGGGACAGCAAATGCAAGTCAGTTCATGTTCACATGAAATTTGATCAATTGGACACACACTGTCCACGTTTTGTGTCACTGAATGAATGAGTGAATGAATGAGTGAATGAATGAAGAGCTACAGTCATTAACAGCTGCAGAGTCAGCAGGAGACAGGTGGAGACCCAGGTTTGCATCCAGTCAGAGTTTGGTCTGTGGTTTAGGCAATAAACGCCTTTTGGTTTAGGTTAGGGAAAGATGATGGTATTGGTTAAATATGCATAAACACGTTGTGTCGGAACATCCTGCAAATGCACAGGAATCACAACATTAAATTTCTTCACTAATTCACAAACTAAAAGTTGTGCTGACAGTGACAGACTGTGAGGCAAGGTTGTCATGTCAAACCTTGTTGGAAGATGCGTTTATTTTATTTTGTCTGGTGCTAATAAATGAGCAGTGAGTGATGTTCACGTCCCTGCCATTTTCACTTGACATGGACGCTGTGTTAGCAGTTGCTAGGAGCAGTTCATATTTTTCTTTGGCTTTTGTCGGCAATGGAAAATTATGAAAACCTCATCACTGATTATGGATGGCACATGGTAAAGAAGACACTCAGTAATACACACTCAAATGGTAATCCAGACACATAATTCCCCTCTTTCCTTGTGGTGAGTGCATGCACCACATTAAAGACCACAATCAAAACTGTACACAAATCCCCTGCACTAATATATATGGCCAAAGAAACACACTGCATAACAGGTTAGTCAATTAAGGTCAGTTTATTCATACCAATCTCATTCGACCGGTGTCACCATAATCAGATGTTCTTCTCCTCCACAGTCCCTGGGTCTGAAACAGAGCAGCTGCTTGATGTAGTTAGATTTTGGTTGGTCCAGGGGGAGGGGCTTAGCAGTTATAAGCACCTGGCCAACAATGCTCTCAAGTTGTAGTGCAAGACTCTGAGGGTGGCTGTGAACCAGACAGGTGACTTTTTGCAAGTTGTAGATAATTTAGGTTGTTTTGCTGTAGATGTCCAAGTTTTTTTTTTTCTAATTACTGTTACTTACTATAAAAGCACAGCACTTCAATCTGCTTTTGTGACTCAAGCCATCTTGTTATTTGTCCGAGACAGTTGACCCGCCGGCCCCAACCCAGGGATGAGACGCAACAGAGCCGTTTTACAAGTCTGCACGGCAGCTAAACCTGATAATTGTGGTGTAAAAAGGGTAAAGGTCAACTTACAAAAAGCTGCACAGCTGCATCGATATGACTGACACCTTTTTTCTCACCACACCATTTGTACCATACTGGCCTGAATATAAGACATTTTTTTCTGGAAGTTAGCTTATAAAAAGTGGGGGTCGTCTTTGAATATTCATGTTGTGACACAAACAAGTGCAACACGTTCGTGTATTTGGTTGTGTCGGGAGTATTTGCAGCACATATGCTGTCAAACGGATGGATGAAGATGTTTTCTGAATTTGATTGCGTTAAGTCCGTTTGCATGTGTTTTCTCAGGCTTCAGTGTGTTGAGCTCTCACGGCCACCCTTGGTTTGGATGCTGAAGCCTCATATCAGTTTCAGCTGACATGTTTTTTGAACACATTCAGGAAACCCCCACCCCACCCCCCCGTAGTCCTAATAGGAAGGTATCACTTCACAGCCAGTGTGGACAGGAAGACTGATTACACCGACTCATAACTCCTTTTGAAAACTGTATTAAGACGGACTTGAAAAGTTTATCCTTGAAAAAATCAATAAAACTAAACATGTGACAACTGCAACCAGAACAAGATGAAATTTTACATTTCACTGCTGCTGAGACAAGGACTCACAGATATTATAATATATATAAAGGTTTCAACAAAGTGGAAAAACTGTAAACAAACTAAGCCAAATATTATAATCTGTATTAGTGGTGATATGTAATACGTAATGTGCCTGATAAATGTTGCAATCATAAGAAAAAATGTGTTTGTTTTACATGCTAGAGATGAACTCAACATACCAAGTGTTGCAAGCACATTGCATCACCCAGAGCTGAAATTAATGAACTGCCTCTGTTTTTCATTTGACAGAATTTACGCTTTTATTTAATGTTAACAAGAGCAGGTCAATAGAGGGTTATCAGCAGCTAACACCAGTTAAGATAAATTGTTTTAGCTGGAACCTCGGAGTTCATTCAGAACTTTCTCCCAGTCGTGCATGTGTTAGTCATGACAGGTCAAAGGCCTCTAATATAAACAACCACTGTTTCACCTCTTTCTCCCTTTTCTGTAGAAAAACAGTTTACATAGATGGACCGTGAATCATCTCTCGCTCTGTCTGTCACATGCACACACGCGCGCACACACATTCTTGATCTCTCCCTCTGCCCCACACATCTGCTGGGTGTGTCGGGTGTGAGTCAGTCAAGTCATGCAGTGCTCCCAAGGCAGCGGACCTCCTCCCAGTGGGAGCGAAACAGGGGGAAAAGTTAGGGGCCGGTGGTGGAAGTAGAAGGGTGTGGTGTGTGTCCGTGTGTGTGTTTGCGTGCATTTTGTGTATGTGCACGACACATTTGGGAAACATGAGGAAAACAGGTTTAAAGGGGTGGAATAAAGTCATGTGAGAGAAAAAGGAGAGTAATAATAAGAGCAGTGACAGGAGAGAGGATATGATGGTGGGAAAACAATCCAAGAATTGAAGCTGCAGTGGATTTACTCTAATTGGCAAAGTAAACACTGTTCTAGATAAAGACTGCCCACAGGAAGTGTTCATAATCAAAACCTGCAATCAAAATCCAAACAGTGGAGAGTAAATTCTCCACTGATTAACCAAAATAAGATGTTTGGCCTCTCACACCATCACAAGCATGACACATGGGTAAACATATTAATGTCACCTTTAAAAACAAACCCTGAAAACAGATTCTTTTTTAAGTTACTGTAAGTGTTGCAAAAGTACAAATGTGCTCAGAGTGGTGCAGGTTGAGGGCACAGATGAAAAAGGTGCAAGGGAGGGTGGGAAAAAAAAGTGAACCTGAGGAAAAAATGGAAGAAAGTGAAAAGACTGAGGGTGGGAGAGCAGACATGTGAAGGA